AATAGTCTCCCTATCGTAAACACCTCTCTGGTTTGCTTAGTTTTAGAGCTCTCTGAAATGATGCAGAATGGGTCATCAAGACCAACTCTTTCTGAACGTGAGCATGTTGACATTGTTTTGGCATAATTAGTTTTTACGTCCAACCACATTTTGTTTTTGGTATAACCCTTCCTCCCTTCCAAGTTCCACATGACTGCTTTCGCTCTGGGCCATTTCCTCCTTAGCTATAGTCTTCAGTTTGGATATTTTGATTTCAATCTGGAGCAATGTTTTAAAAGGTCTTTGAGACTTGAGTGCAAATTTTAGCCTAGAGTCTTATGTCTTCTTTGAATCATAAGAGGCTTATCCTTATGAAAAGACACTGAGATTTGGAGTCTTATGCTTGCTAGAAGAATAATCTCAGTTGCATTTCTTTTAAAGTTCACTTCTATATTTAATACTAATGCACCTCGATTGGTTACTACTAGGCTTGAAAGAATTTTGAGAATATTGGAGTAAATTAGAGAACAAGTCGAAAGTATTAATGATACTAATGATGATGTTGAGAATGACCTTTAGAGTACTCAATGTGACAATTGATGGATGAGATTTTATCCCTTTATGGATTTCTAGATAATTAATAATATGATTTTATCCATGTCTTTTTAATTTAAATCCATGGCTTACACTTCATACTTCCACTTCAATGCTAGTGCTCCAATCGCCATTAGAAATTTCCCCCTGATTCCTACTATCTTTCTGGATTAATATAACATACTTTTTTCATTTATCTTTTTCAGGTGATAGGACACCTTCTAAAGCCTCGTGGTTGGAAACCTCCTGTTCGCCGGCAATTTTTCTTGGACTGCAATGAAATAGCCGATCTTTGTGATAGTGCAGAGAAAATATTTTCAAGTGAACCTAGCGTTTTACAGCTTAAGGCTCCTATTAAGATATTCGGTGATCTACACGGCCAATTTGGGGACCTTATGCGCCTCTTTGACGAGTATGGTGCACCTTCAACTGCTGGGGATATAGCGTAAGTAAAGGATTGTTCGAAACATTTTGTATCTGAAAGACTAATTGTAAATCTTTAATAATTTTTTATTCAATCTATTTTTGTAATATCTTTTGATGAACAACTGTCAGATATATCGATTATCTCTTCTTAGGAGATTATGTTGACAGAGGTCAACACAGCCTTGAAACTATTACCCTCCTACTTGCTTTAAAGGTACTTGAGTGCTGTTGCTTATGTTAGCTAAATACGAAACTCTCACATTTCGTGCATTGATATGCTGATAATTTTATATAATTTTATTGCAGGTTGAGTATTCACAGAATGTACATTTGATACGCGGGAACCATGAAGCTGCAGATATTAATGCTCTTTTTGGCTTCCGGATTGAGTGTATTGAGCGGATGGTATTATTACTGTCTACACCTGTATATAATTTTTGTGTTCCATTATATAAACGGGTTATAACTTCTAATTTCATTCCTTACTGAACAGGGAGAGAGGGATGGAATTTGGGCATGGCATCGGATTAACCGACTGTTTAACTGGCTTCCTTTAGCAGCTTTAATTGAAAAGAAAATAATTTGTATGCACGGTGGTATTGGTCGATCAATAAATCATGTGGAGCAGATCGAGAACATTCAGCGTCCAATTACAATGGAAGCAGGTTCAATTGTCCTCATGGATTTGTTGTGGTTAGTGCATGTCTATGCAGTTGTTTTCAACTCTTTTGACTACTGAGTAGTGATCTAATACGTCTCTGGTATGCTGTTCCGTTTAACTCTTTTAATCACGCTAATATAATTATTCTCATGTATTAATATGAATTTCTATAGGTCCGACCCTACAGAAAATGACAGTGTGGAAGGACTGAGGCCAAATGCTAGAGGTCCGGGGTTAGTCACTTTTGGGGTGAGTGTTAAACATGCTTTGTAACAAATTGCCTCACAGTTTTGCCTCACAGTTTCTCTAATCGAACAATGAAATACCGATGACAATCTTGCCTCTTGCAACAAATGATGCCACACCTTTCTGCTAAACGAACAAGTGAAAAAGAAAAATAAATGGGTCATGTCTTCACACTGCCTTAAGTATAGAGAACACCGAGGACTCAGGGCCCAAAATTGGCATATTTGTGTATTCTGTCTGTTGTATCATGACTTTGAAGGCAAGCTGTCCAGACAAACACTTGACTCTTTTAGGACATGTTCCTTTCCAATTATCAGTAAAAACTCTTTCACCGCCAAACAAATTATGAACGTAAGATTTCGATATCATGTTATCATCAGATGAAATTGCGAAATTTGTGGCTTCTTCTTTTATAATTGGTATTGCAAGGTATAGTAATTAAATCTAATTGTGAAATGTTTGGAAAATGATTAAAATATGTCAATAACGTCTTTGGTATAATTGCTCATGAGTAGCCACAATGATTTACCATTGTCAATAACGCCTTTTTTGAACTCTTTTGTTTATTGCCAGCAAATGTCTATTGCCAGCAAATTAGATTTTGCTCATGAGTAGCCACAATGAGTAGGCACAATGTTTATTGACCATTGTCAATAACGCCTTCTTTTTTGGCTGCTTTAAAGTCATTCAGAATAGCTTCTTAATGTCCATTGCCAGCAAATAAGATTTTCAAAACATAATCTGATCAAAGCATCTATTTCACTATAGTTCTGAACTCTTTTGTTTACAATCTAAAATGCTCATATGGAATTGTTGTTACTGCAGCCTGATCGTGTCATGGAGTTCTGCAACAATAACGATCTTCAGCTGATAGTTCGTGCCCATGAATGTGTTATGGATGGTTTTGAACGTTTTGCTCAAGGGCATCTGATTACACTTTTCTCGGCCACAAATTACTGCGGTATGCTTCTTGCTTTTTACTTATCTTGCGACAGATCTGGATCTGTGGATATTTCGCCGTTACAAGTTCGGTTCTTGCATAACAGGCACTGCAAATAATGCTGGAGCTATTTTAGTATTGGGTCGAGATCTTGTTGTAGTTCCAAAGCTAATTCACCCTTTACCACCGGCAATGACTTCCCCAGAGGCGTCACCAGAACGGCATTTAGAAGATACATGGATGCAGGTGCTGCTGATATGTACATTCACATTGATTTTTTCTTCCTCCCCTATGTTCAGTGTCAATATTAATTCCATTATATTGGTATTCTATGAGATTAGGAGCTGAATGCCAACAGACCTCCAACACCAACCCGAGGCCGCCCTCAAGTAACCAACGACCGGGGTTCCCTTGCATGGATCTAGCACATTGCATCTATTAATTAATCTCAAGTCTTGCTTCATGTTACTACCACTGTGGCAGTTCTGGTGTTATGTATAGAACACACGCCCGTCTCCAAGTGCCAGAACTCGCGATCATCGTTCTAATGGGTATACAAAGGTTTGAGTCAGATATTCACACACCTTCAATGAGCCGTGAAACGGATTGTATAGCTTCGAGAGCCGGGTTGATGGTGGCAGCAGTGTTTAAAATGTTTGATGCGCTACAAGATGTAGTGTGGACCGTCGTACCACCCGATATCTCGGGTCACAAGCAGGTGGTAGATGGTCTTGGCTTTTTGTTCCTATAGGTGATACCAATGGTAGTCTTACATTTTTTTAAAAAAATTGCTGTCTATTATTTTTCCCCATTTTTAGAGGACCGAATTTAACTTGAGATATATGGTGGTGGGGTGTGATTTGGTAGTAAACGTCTTTGTGATTGTCCTTTGTATCATAGAGGTTGTTGCTTTGTTTCTTTGTACAATGTAATTGTGTGGAGATAACCAAACTTGCCAATTTGTCATGTCAAGAGATACCAATTTTTGATTAGTGAATGCCATTCTAGTTTCTTTCCTTTTTTTAGTTTTAGTTTTTTTTTTTTCCTTCTAGTTCGATGGCCAGGGTGAGGATCCAATCATCAATTTTAAAAACGGTCAGTTACAAGTGCCATAATTGAACTGTGTTCATATTAGCTTTTTCTTGTATAATCACCTTTAATCTAATCAATTTAATTTTTTCTAGCGTAGCTACAGAATAATTCTCTCTATATATATTATTGAAAAGACTAATGAGTAAATTTTTTTCATAACTACATTTTTATTTACCGAATGAGATTTTAAGTATTTGTTCATGTATTTAATTAAAAAATTCAAAGTGGTTATTATCTTTGATTCCAAAATGTTTCTTTTGTGGAGATTGCATATTCCTTCGCTAGCACTAATTTTTTTACAAAAGTAATTTGACGAAAAATGAAAATACTCGATCATTTTTAAAATTCTCTCTTTCAAATAAATAAAATTTTTTCATGAGCTAATTTTATAAATTAACCATTATACTGATTTTACTTTCATATAATATCTTATTAAATACGTCAATAATAATTTGAGTTCGTCGACTATTTTATTTGGTCATATGTACGTTTTCCAACTTTCATTGTGATGATTAGACAACCTTTGCACTGAAAAAGACTCCAATTTTTTTTTTAATAAAAAAATTTGACTTAAGGAACTAAGATTAAACAATGCAGGAATTTTATTTGAAAAAAGTTGAATCAAATTTGACTTTGTTGTGCTTTCTCTTAACATTTTCAAATTTGGGGTGCCTGACCCCTATATCTTTTCTTGTTCAAGTGATAATGAAGCGAGCGATTAAAACTTATTTTGAAAATTTGATTCAAACTTTCATATTTTTTTTTACCTTAAAAATTTTTAAATATTTTTTTTGAGTGTATTGACAATGAGAAGAGTAGTCCAAATCTATTATAAAAGATCTATTTTTTTTTTAATATAGGATCCTTAACCGCTTTAACCATCTAATTCGGAATAGAACATAACATGTAATTATATAAGATCCTTGAATCATGAATGAATTGAAGAAGAAATCCTTAGTAGGGAAGAAAAGATGAAAATAGGATCGAAACTTTTAAATATTTATTTGCATAATCATAATAAATATGTAACTGTTAGAACACTCAACACCAAGAATCCAAAAAGAAAAGCAACCCCAAATCAGTGTTCGATTATGATGTTGCAAAAATGGAAGACTAATTTAAACAGACAAGACCCGTATTGAAACCCCATTGGTTAGAAAATAACCAAGGCAAAATTCAAAAAATAATCATAAAAAAAAGGAGGAAAAAAAAAACCATCAAAATGCTTAGGCTTTAGACAAGACAGTCCAGTGGGTCAAAGATCAGCTATGATTTTGTTTCAGCTTTGAGAGATCACAGACTCTTCAAATGAAATCATAATGTACACTTCCTTTTCTGGTAATTTTCATTTTCTTTTTCCCCCCTTTGATTTTCTAATTTCTAAATGCTAATTTGAGATAGTTTTTCTATCGTCTTCTTCGATAGTCTCTCTGTTATTGCTTTTAAGGGTTAATAGGAAGAAATGGGCAGACATTTAACAATTAAAATTAAATATGTAATGGGTATGGAGATTTCGGTGTGGATTTTCCCGGCGAACGGCGGCGGTTTAGGTGGTGGCAATGCAGCAGGGCTCCCGGAGAAGAAGAGACCTTCTGGGCAATTTACAGCCGTTCGACAATGGAACCAAGTAGTCTCCTCTGTTCCCTCTCAGTACCAAAACTTGCTGTTTCTCATTGGCCATTTGATTATCTGAAGAAATAAGTTTCCGGGTCACGCTCTTGATCGGCTGCGGCTGTTGTTGCCCGATCGAATTTTGAATTCCGGCAGATTTTCCGGTGGGTTTTGACCGCCAGTAGTACTCGTAGGCATTCAGAGAAGTCGCCGCCGTAGCGAGAGGCGACGGCGGGCGCGGTGGGAGTGACTGTGAGAGTGGAGTTAGCGGCTCCGATGTATCTTTCTCCTTCGGCCATGGCGGATTCCGATTGACCAATCCATTTGGCTTCTTCTTCATCATTAGCGCTAATCGGTGGAAATTCATCACAGAACTCGACAGTCTCGGGATTTCCAATTCCAATTCCTCTGTTTCCAAATCGTTCCCCTCGTCTTTTTCCTCGGCAATTTCCGAATCTTTCACTTCCTCCAACTCCCGAGCGAGTAATTGTTCGAACTCGTCTTCTTCCTCTACAACCGGAGTGGTAACGAAAG